GGCATCCGTTGGTCAAAACTGCTTCTACAGTCTTTAAAGATGTGATATGAAAATGTGTTAGGGATATGTTTTATGGCCTAACTATCTGTGTATCCCCAATGTTTAGCAAGGGTCTGGGTATTGAATGAGCACCCCCAAAATGCTAATTTTTTAAGCCAGACATCATAGGGCTGGAGCAATATGACAGCAAAGGGGATTCACCTCTCACACTGCCGACCCTGGGTCTATACCCAGCACCTCTTATGGTCTCCTGAGACTTTCCAGGAGTGACTCCTAAGTGCAGAGCCAGGAGTGACCCCTGAGCATGGCAGGACATGTCCCTTCCCCCTCGCCCCCAAATCTTCTTAGACATCAAGGGAAAGTATCACTGTCCTCCCATTGTTCATCAATTTGCTCCAGCAGGCCCAGTAACGTCTCCATTTTTTGAGACTTGTTGTTACTGTGTCTGGCATATCGAATACGTCACGGGTAGCTTGCCAGGCTTTGCCGTGCGGGCTAGATACTCTCAGTAGCTTGCCGGGCTCTCTGAGAGGGGCGGAGGAATCAAACCTGGCTCGGCCAGGCTGGCTGCGTGCAAGGCAAACGCCTATTAATTTGTCATAAGGTTAGTACCTACGTAAATATATTCCAAGGTAGCCGAGGAGGAAAATTAGCTAAGATAATGGGAACATTTGATTCATATATATAGAACTGTAATGAAAAGAGGGATGTTTTACTTCCTGTTCCATCCTTAAGGCTTCTGACACACTTCTGCAGAATCTGACACTATAATCAGAACTTCGGGAACACGCGATAATTGGAAGTGCCTGAGAGAGAAAGTACACTTACCCCTTCTGTGGATGGGACAACGTTTTTCATTTTGTGAGATTCCCACACTTTGATCTCAGCATCCCACAGGATTGTAAAACACATTCAACATTTTTATATTGGAGTGAACATATTTTTGGCTCCCAGAGTATTCGTTTTGGTTCAATTCATACTTATAGGAAAAGGCATATGAACTTTGTTTAACTTCTTTTAAAGAATATAGCCATGAATTACTTGGATACTGACACAGAGTCCAGTTTTGGGAAATGTGATTCATTACTTATTGTGATTTTAAGTTTTTAAAAGCACTGCATTCTATCAATTTTGGAGAGGTATGAACATGTGATAAAGACTAACCAGAAACTGGAGGACGTTCTCCTGAGAGCAATAAAGTATAATTTAAATATTAAAATCATTAACTTAAATTCCTTTAAAAGATAAAATACACATAATACTAGATGACTGGATTTTATTTTTTTAAAGCTCCTAACATGCTCACACGTTTCTAATGAAACCATAACTCCTTTAAAAATACAAGCAAGGCACGTCCAATTAATCACACACATTTCCCTCTAGAACCTTCTCAGACAGGCCACATTCCTAGGACATTAATTTAAGCTTTCAATGAGTCTAAAAGTAGAATGAGTACATTAAGATTTTGTAAAATAATAGTTAAGCAAATGGGTCCTTATCGCTGAGGTGGAACTGTGATTTTATATTTTATTCGTAGAGACATTGTTCTTACTCGAGTCACATCACAGTAAAAATCATTTTTCAAAAGGGGGACATTTTACATATCCAGTTGAACTGAAGAAAACTCGATCTTTTCACCATTTTATTGATATCTAGCCACGCTTCGTCCTTGTATTTTTTTGTATTTTCTCCTCTAGGAGCTGTCTGCTCTGGTTGGCATGGAGACCAAAAAAGATTGAGAAAAGTGAGCGATTCTGGAGAACTCCAATGCCAAGTGAGAATCCCCTTCCATTTCTTCGAAACAACTAAACTTCGGGGAAAATGCTTGACCTGGTGACCAATCCCAAGATTTTGCTTTATAATTTTGCTAAATAATAGTGATGAAGGAGACAGAATCTCAATAAACAAAAGCACAGGTGAAAGTTCCCAGCTGGAGGCTGGTGGAAGAACTGGTGACAAAGTGTCAGTGAACTGGTGAAACTGATCCAAAAAACGGGAAAAAAAATGACCAATGGGAAATGTAAAGGTTTATTCATTAACACCATGCAAGCTAAGGGTGTTCAGGTTTCCAGGAGCCCTGTCATTTGCTTGGGTACACACCATTATTTCTAGCCTATTCTTCTTGGTGGTTTTCTGCAGACGGTGTCTGGAGACTGGTGGAAATTTACTGCATGTCAGTGACAGGCTTACAAACAAAGCTAGAGTGAGAAGCGACAGGAGAAAAAATGGTTGTGTCCTGGAGTGGTTAGGAACCCACTCCTCATCAGGAAAGATGGCAGGGCCGAAATGGTAAGATACCTGCTGCCTGATTTACTTTATAGGTACCGAATTTATTTTGTGTCTATTTGTTCAGAGATGATTCAAAAGCCACTTGACAAACTTAACAAGCCTATGTTGCTCTAAGACCTTGAGAGTGAAATATCTCTTTTAGAAAAGGAGAGAGAGAACAAAAGGGAATGCCCTGCCACAGAGGCAGGGTAGGATAGGGGGGGTGGGGGGTGGGAGGGATACTAGGACCCGTGGTGATAGAAAATGGGCACTGGTAGAGGGATGGGTACTTGATCATTGTATAACAGAAACCCAAGCACAAAAATTTGTAAGTCTACAACTGTACCTCATGGTGTTTCACTAATAAAAATTTTTTAAAAAAAGATATCCCAAAATGTGCTTACATATTTGCAGTTCAGATACTTGATAAAAATCAGACCTGTTTCTCAAAAAAAAAATAATGGGTTTGAAAACTCTCAGAAATCTTTCACTGGATAGCATGTCTTAAGATTAATTAAAGTGTGATTTCAGGAACTCGATTCATTGAGTCCCAATCCACCCCCATTTTACAGTCAAGTTGGATTTGGGGTTCCAACTCTCAAACTCTGGAAATGCTGACAGGGCTGACAGAGCTGGAAGAATCCTTCTTGCTGGGGCAGTACCCAGTGGTGATAAGAATCTACTTGTGTTTCTGTGCTCGGGGGGCTATATATGGTGCTGGTGTAGACCCTAAGCCAGTTGCATGCACTCTCTCTGTCTATGGAAGAACATTTCTCTGAAAAGGCATTGTGAGATATTCAGGGATCTCCAAGCCCATAGATATAAGGAATGACAACTCGTGTCTCAAGTTCATAAAATGAGGGGAAGTTAAAGCATGTCAAAACTTAGAGCCTGAGAAGCAAACTCAGATTGCTTTGTTTCATTTGGGGAGGTCACACCTGGTGGTGCTCAGGAGTTACTCTTGGTTTTATACTCAGGAATCACTTCTGGTGGGTCTAGGGAACCGGATAGGATGCTAGGGATTGAACCAGGGTCAGTCACACACAAGGCAAACACCCTACCTGCTATACTCTGATCCACTAAGTTAGATATTGAATGGGATCTGGAATCCCTCTTTCACTTAAAGTCAAAATCCCCTTACATGAACTCAGTGACCTCTTTTGATTTAACAATTGCAGATCCAGGAGCTGGATTTGGTCTGTGGTGAGCCGCGGTCTAAAGGTTTCTTTGCTAACACCTGTGGGATGTGTTCAGGGGGCAAAAATGGTGATGCTTGTCAACGAAGCGAATGTTTTAAGTGCTCTGGGAACAATAAACATGTCTTAAGTTATCCTTCTACAAGTGCTAAGAGTTCCTAGAACTGTTTGGCCAGTTGACAAATGTGGGCATTAAGAGATGCCATGGTTAAGAAAGTGGTCCAAGTTATGTAACTAATTAAGTGTTTGGCCTGGGCAGAGAGCTCAAAGCCTGGGGCACAGGCACAAGAAGGAGTTTCATCTCCTGCATCACCTAACCCCTTTCCCGCTCCCCGGCCCCCCAACCTCCGCCAACCTCCGCCTCCCCACACCACCTGGTGTGGCTCTGGTGGTTCCCAGAACCCTAAGGCTGAGGCCAGGTCAAGACAGCACATTTTTTTTAAGAGCAGCTACTTTATTTATTTATTTTTGCTTTTTGGGTCACACCCAGTGATGTTCAGTGGTTACTACTCCTGGCTCTGCACTCAGGAATTACTACTGACGGTGCTTGGGGGACCATATGGGATGCTGGGAATTGAACCCCAGTCAGTCGCGTGGAAGGCAAATGCCTTACCCACTATGCTATTGCTCCAGCCCCAAGACTGCACACTTAAGTCTGCACCATGTAGGCATTGACTAAGAAGCCTGTGTTCCAACTGTTTATCATGTTTAAAAAACTCTCTTCAGTCTCTTTGCTGGTTACTGCCAGCACCAATAATAGTCACAGAAACACAATAATCAGTGTCCCTCACGTTGCCTTTGAGAATCACCTGTGACTGGACAGGCGTGAGGTCATGTCCTCAGAGGTGGAAAGAGATTTGGAAACCAGCGTGCCCAGTTTCCTTCACAGTGTGCCAGTCAGGCACACTGGGAAGCTTGCTCGGCACTACTGCACTGCTTCTTCCTCCTATCTGAGGTCAGTTTCCTCTCCTGGTCTCACAAGTGCCAAACTGGAGAGCAAAACAACTTCACACAAGAGCCTGGTTATGTAGGTTCTCATTTAAGTAGTGACACAATCCGAAGCAAGTAACTCTCTCTGGAAGACCAATAATCAATCCCAGCCCCAAGAAATGGGGGAAACATACAGATTTACCAATGAGGAGAAGCAAACCAAAAGATATTATCAAGGAACTGAGAATATGCATCTATGAATGCCTTCTAGAGCCATCTGCAGGGATATGGACATCTTAATCATTAGTATTACCCATCAGTCACATGCAAGTTGGTTTGTGATGTGGACCCATGGAATGAACATTCACAGTGTGCCATGTAGGGAACAGACCCCGAGGAAAATATGACTTAACGGTGCACTCTTGACAGCTAAGTGTGCTACTAGGCTGTCTGCTGGAAACACATTCTTCAGGACACTTGTGGGATCCCTGTCTTCTTCCCTGGTTCAAGTGGCAGTCTCTCCCCTTTGCACCCTGAAGAGACACATTAGAACTAAGAGGATGGGCTTCACTACCCACTGAGAACTCAAGGAACAGAAGGACTTACTTCAAAGACCAGCGTCTCGTTGGTGGGTCCTGGTGCAGAGAGGCGTTCTGGGTGGTTGAAGGGGCGCTGGTATTCGAAGGTGGTCCCGGCGAAAGGGAACTCCCCAGGCCAGTTGATGCTCCAGCCCCCCGTGAGGTAATACTTGTGACTGAGGCTCCGAACAGCCAGGTAGCTGGACGAGATCTGAAGCTCCTGGATCTCAATGCTCCAGGCCCCCGCGGGGACAGTGACCACTGGGTAATATTCTACACGGGTGGGAGACAAGGTTTCCACACTGTGCTTGGGAGAAAGGCAACCAGAAAGGCCCAGGCCCCTTGTGACAAAACGGGGTGTCTGCATCATTCAGTGACATGCGTTCTTCCTCTCGAAAGAGAAAAATGATGCATTGTTTCAAGGTCCAAGCAGTAGAAACACCAGAGAGAAAATAAACATATGCTCCACATGAGTGTATATGTGTACATACTTGCATGCATGTGTGTGTGTGTCTGAGATGGGTAAGGAAATGAACAGGAGAGTCATTCTTCATTTCCAGAATAAGCACCACAAAACTAAAGAATGTTAAAAAAAATCTGCCTAGGGATAGGAATTTGGCTCAAGGGGTAGTGCATATACCCTAAGTCTGGAGCATAAGTACGGATCCCTGAGTTTGATCCCTTGATACCTTCTGGTCATTGAGCACCACTGGGTGTAGCCCTGGTGGTCACCAAGCAGTGAGTCATTAGATCTAAGCATCACTGGTGGGACTGACTCTCAGTCCTTGTGGGTGGGATCCTTATCACTTGTGTCCACGCCCCTCTCCCCACCAAATGCAAAAATCAACCTAGAAGAACCTTAGGACCTTGCATTTTCCAAAGCAATCTAGAACAGAGAGACACCATGTTTCACTTGATTGCGATGTTCTTTAACTGCTTCAAGTATTCACCTGGCACATGAGTCCAGAGCACCCAGGAGACAGAACAAGCAGGACGGTACCCGTGTGCCACCCACTGAGGTATCCCTGACCATAAGCTCCCATTCACATAAGCTCCCGTCCCCTCCCTCCTGAGGAAGGCAGCCCCAGGTCCAGATCTGTGGTCTCCAGGGTGTCAGCAGAGCCAATCTGAGGCTTGGAGTATGACTCCGGCTTGCGCAGCAGAGAGGGCTGGGAGGCACCTGCCTCAATGGGGGTTAGAGGGGAGGGGGTGTCCATCCGTCTCTCTTACCATTTGCCTTGTGCTGGTTGAGATACAGGCCTTTGTAGAACTTGCACGTCGAATTATCACCTTTGCAAACGCCACAGGCATCCGCTACTGCTCTAGAGCCAAGTTCATGGTCACATCCCACTGGCTGCGACCAAAATAAGAAACAAACCAAAACCAAAACATCAGCTGTGAGTCAAGTCACAGAGCAGTAGCTGAGAATAACCTGGAAGCCAGGGGCTTTGCACATTCGCAGAACTGTGGGGAGAGGGAGGTACCTTGGGCAGCACCAGCTCCCATCTGATGATGAAGGAGCTTGGGGTGGGCATAGGGGTCTGGCCCTTCCTCTGTCATTAATAGATGCATGGCTAGACAAGTTCTGTCCTGACCCCTAGGCTTAGATTTTTTAAAGACAAAACAATATAATATTTTATTTTTATTTATTTATTTTTTTTAACGGGGTTCTGTGTTTGGCTTATTAGTTGGATCCCATGACATATTAGCACTGGGTAATCCTTAGCACACTTTCTGCTAAATATTTTTTTATTTCTTCTTATTTTTTTTATTTATAAGAAACTTTGGTACATCTACACAACGGAGTACTATGTAGCTGTTAGAAAAGATGAAGTCATGAAATTTACACACAAGTGGTACTACATGGAAAGTATCATGTTAAGCGAAATGAGTTAAAAAGAGAATGATAGACATAGAAAGATTGCATTCATCTGGGGAAAATAAAGTAACAAAATAGGCTTAGATTCTTGATCTGCAAATGTGGGATAAAAAGTCTCCCTGGTTGCTAACAGCAGATGAGTTTACTCCGGCAAGTTCAACCCCTGAAATCTAAAAGTGCTGGGGACCACTATCCCAGGAGAAGAAAAATATATCTGAGAGCTCTTTTAACTTAATACATCAAATTTAAAGAGAAAGCATCTACCGTGAGAGAGAGGCAAACTAGCCTTTTACAACATGAATAGCATTACCGCGGCACCAAAGGCTGCCGTCATCTCTACACCACCTTCCCGATCCTTCTCATTTCTGTCATCGAGGGCCCGGGGTATTCAAGGTATCCCCTGGTGGGGTCTCCTGCCTTCCCTGTCCTGTTATTCTGTAGACCACAGGTAAGTGAGACCATCCGGTCACCAGTGGACTCCGCCAACACGGAAGTGGATGAGGCGCACATAAATCCTCATGTCTTGGCTACATCCACAACATAAGGGAGGATGGAGCCTTCGTTATCCCCGTTCTGCTTGTGAATGGAGTGAGAAATAGAAAACTTCTCGCTCCAAAAATAGGAAATAGAAATAGGAAATGTAGCGAGAAATAGGAATTCCCAGAATGAAGCGAGAAATAGGAAATTGACATGGGCTCAGGCCGAAAGAGCGGAAACTTGGAGCCTGCTCTCACCTCCACTTAGAAATGGAGGTGCCCTGACCCATCCCCCTCACCTCCCAGGCCCCTTGCTTTTGTCCAGATTCAGAATTTCTGGAGCACTTCTCAGAGCATGCCTTGGCAAAGAGGAAATCCCGGCATGCTCACACACCCCAAAGCAGAAATGTTCTCTTACTTCACAAATCCCATCGATGCAAACATCATTTTTGTTGGGAGAGCAAGGAGTTCCATCCTTCACCTTTCCAGACATGGCAAAAAAAAATTCAAAGTTCTCGGCCTTGCAGTACAGTTTACACCGGTCTTCCTCTAGAAGGAAAGAGAGCAGCAGGCACAGAGTCAAGGGGAGATCATAGCAAATGACCAACAAGTGGACAAGTTAACTCAGAAAACTACGAAGATGAATATAGAAAATACCATACAGGCTTTGAGGTGTGTATGTATGTGTGTGTGTGTTTGTGTATGCACGCACGCACATGTGAGTGTGTGTATGTGTGTGAGAGATTATTTGAATAAATGTATATATATATTTTCTTTTTTTAAAAAAAATTTGATCGAGAAATTTTATAAGTGAAACACCATGAGGTACAGTTGTAGACTTACAAAGTTTTGTGCTTGGGTTTCAGTTATACAATGATCGAGTACCCATCCCTCCACCAGTGCCCATTCTCCACCACCACTGATCCCAGTATCCCTCCCACCCTCCACCCCCCCCCATTCCACCCTGCCTCTGTGCATCCCTCCCATGCCTCAGGGCATTCCCTTTTGTTCTCTCTCTCCTTTTGGGTGCTGTGGTTTGCAAGAGAGGCATTGACTGGCAATCATTTCGGTCTATAGTCTACTTTCAGCATGCTTCTCCCATCCTGGGAGGATCCTCCCAACACCCTTTATTTGGTGCTCCCTTCTCTATCTGAGCTGCCTTTTCCCCCAGTGTGTGCGGCTGGCCTCCAAGCCATGGAGTGAACCTCCTGGTACTTATCTTGGCTATTCTTGGGTGTTAGTCTCCTATTTTGTTACTTTATGTTCCCCAGATGAATGCAATCTTTCTATGTCTGTCCCTTTCTTTCTGACTCATGAATAAATTTACATTATATGTTTTATTTGGGTGTTGTGCACAGGCCCCAGGTGTTCTCACAACTGAATCCCGGCTCTGCTCTTAGGAATTACTCCTGGTGTGGCCCCGGAAACCATATGTGGTGCCAGAATTCCAACCCAAGTCAGCTGTGTGCAAGACTTATCTGTGTGTCTTACCCACTGTTACACTATCACTCTGACCCAAAGAGAAGTGTCAGAGGTGGAATTCAAACCCATGCCTCCCTACAGAGACCAGAAGACCCCGGGGTGGGAAGTAGGAACTTGAATCGGGTGCCTCAGTTCACTCAGCCATCCTGACATGCATCCAATGAAGATTATACGACCTTAAAAATATGATACTCATTTTCTAATACAGATAAAACTGCTCAATAGCCAAGAATTTTTGAATCTTGGCAATGGCTATGGCAGATAAGAACAGGGAGCTGTGTAGCCACTTCCCTTGGCTAGTAAATGTTTTAGACAATAATATGTCAATGGACTATGCTCTGTTCCACTTAAACTTTATTTTAAAAATATTTATTTACTTAGGGGGTGTAGCTGGGGTCACTTCTGGCAGAGCTAAGGGGACCATAGCTAGATTGCTGAGAATTGAACCAGGATCGGTGACGTATAAGCGAGTGCCTTCATACCTATTCTCTCTCTCTCTCGCCCTGCTAGTTAAACTTCAGAAAGATAAAGTCACGCTTGGTCCAAAGGTTACAGTTTACTGATGGAGTCTTAGCAAGTGACATACTCTTAACATTTATTTGGACAGTTTGAAAAGGGGGGGGGAAGGCACTTTTGGGGGGGAGGGAGGCAGAAGGGCAAAGTGCATGAAACACACTGATAACAAACCCCACTGTGGAAACAAACAAACCAGACTTAGAGGCCAAACACTGGGGACTTGTATTGACCCGTGGGTCCCTAAAAAGAGTCTGGCACCATCAGCACAAAGTAAAGAGCCTTTCATTTACAGAGCGCGTGAGTTCAGAAGGGGGTTGCCATGCCAACTGCTAAACACGGTCCTCCTTGGCCAGGAATTCCAGATGATGTTTCTCACAGGAGACTGTGCGGAGGCGGCACTGGGAGAGACGTCTGACAACAGATTTACAACAAGTGTGCAAACAGTTTGCAAATAGTTGTGCGACATAAAACCGCTCAATAAAAGCCAACTTCAACGGCAAAGAGGGCAGATCAACGCACAGCCACGCCGAGACAGGCAAAGATTTCGTCCTGCCTAGGAATCTGCTTTTCTGATGGCTTCTAATGTTTGCATGTGATACTGGAGACCAGGGATGCTAGGGTGCTGGAGAGCGCAGTTTCCCGGACACACACAGTCAAGTTCACAAATGAATCCAGGAGAAACGTAGGAGAAAAAAAAAACGCTCTGATCTGATCGAGGGACGGAATCAACGCTTAGGCGTCAAAACTCCCCGCTCTTCTCACACTGCTCCAACAACACAACACCCTTGAGTTCCAAGGGATGTTTCAAAGAGGGTGGGAGAGGGGGGCCTCCCCTCCTCTGTTCCCCCAGCCCCGTGAGGATTGTGGGCCTCGGGCTGAGGTGCTTCTGTTCAGTGCGTGCCCCGCTGTGTCCGCCAGTGAACCTGGTCTTCCTAAGTGCCCAGTCAGCATTCGAGCCATGAGGGAAGGAAGTGGCATGTTCCCTCCCTGGTAAAAACTGCAACCCAACCTGCAAAAGCATTGAAAAGTCTTCCAAATGACACACTCATTTCCTTCATGTTTTCTTCTACCAGCTTCAACACAGGACCTATTGAGAGGGTGATAACAGAATGAATTCCACAAACACTGGAACTGGATGAAAGACAGAATGTGGGAAAGGCCAAAAATAAGCTTGTGGAGGGAGTAGGGGGATGTGATTAGGACTTACTTCTGGATCTGTGCTCAGAGATCACTACTGGTAGGGCTCAGGTGATTACAGGTGGTACAGTGGGTACCGAGTTGGCTCTGCACAACACAGTAGCCGATCCTGGCTCCATCCCCGGTACCTCGGATGGTGTATTATGGCTTCAGGCCAGCTAAGAACTGTCCTAACATAAAACACAGCCCAGAGTACAAGAGAAAAGAAGGACCCTAGGAGGCATGGAATGGCCGGAGTCTGCACCCTGCGAAGCCACATCTTTACTTGTTGGGGTTGATCATGACAGCAGGTGACAACCTGCCATCAGGTGTGCTGTCCTGCTACCAACTCGGGTCTGGACAGAATGAATGCCTCTCATGACAGGGCTCTCACTTCTCCTCAAGAGAACACAGTGCTAGCCCAGAGAGAGTCCCAGGCCCTGGAGGCGGGCTGTACACAATGGAGTACTATGTAGCTGTTAGAAAAGATGAAGTCATGAAATTTATATACAAGTGGTACAACATGGAAAGTATCATGCTAAGCGAAATGAGTCAGAAAGAGAGGGATAGACATAGAAAGATTGCATTCATCTGGGGAATATAAAGAAACAAAATATGAGATTAATACCCAAGAATAGCTGACATCAACACCAGGAGGATTACTCCATAGCTTAGAGGCCAGCCGGGCATTCTAGGGGAAAGGGCAACTCAGATAGAGAAGGGAGCACCAAATAAAGGGTGTTTGGAGGATCCTCCCAGGAGGGGAGATGCATGTTGAAAGTAGACTATGGACTGAACATGTTTGCCACTCAAAGCCTCTTTTGCAGACCACAACACCCAAAAGGAGAGAGAGAACACAGGGGATTGCCCTGCCACAGAGGCAGGGTGGGATGGGAGGGATGGGTGTGGGAGGGATATTATCCATGGTGGTGGAATATGGGCACTGGTGGAGGGATGGGTATTTGATCATTGTATAATCTAAACCCAAGCACAAATAATTGTAAATCTACAACTGTACCTCATGGTGTGTCACTAAAAATAAAAAAAAAAAAAAAAAAGAGAACACAGTGCATAATTTGAACCGTTCTTTCTTGCATTCCTTCTCGCTGTTACAAATGCATGCCAAGCACTTGTTCACAGATGCAGGAGAGACAAGCAGGCTTGAGCCGTAGGCAAAGTCTTCAACTTTTGGGAATAGAAATTCTTGTTGGGAGAAGGGGGATCAAGCACCGGCTGATGATGGAAAGTCATGTGCTGCAACCATCACTGAAGCATAAATCAGGGCCGGGGGTGCCAGGTGTGGACCCGATGGAGGCCCAAGCTCACAAAGAGGCACAGTGAATTCTAGGAGGAGGATAGGGCCAGAAAGTCCTCAGTCCAGACGCCACCTGCTCCTGGAGCAATGTCTATATTGAACCCTTCTTCTTAGATTTTTTTTCCCGTTCTTGAGCTATATCTAGCAGTGCTCGGGGCTTCTCAACCTTGTCTCTGCACTCAGGGATCACTACTGGCAGGCTTGGAGGAAAATAGGGGATGCCAGAGACCAAACCCAGGTCTGCAGTGTGCAAGGTAAGCGCCCTACCTGCTATCCTATCACTCTGCCCCCTAGACTCTGAAATTTTTGAGGGGGCCTTCCGAGCACTGCTCAGGAGAGTTACCAGGGCTGTGGCGGTGCCCCGGGGAGGCTCTTGGGTGCCTCCCAGGCTGTTTCTGGTGGTGCTCATAGGACCATGAGGTGCAGGGACCGAACTGGGGTTGGCTGTATGCAAGGCACGTGCATTAACCCCTGAATCTCTAGGGCCCTCATTTTTTAGGTTTCTAGAAGGCGAACTGCAGAGTTCCTTCTCCACACCAAACATCTATAGATGCCCCACGATTTGCACCCGAGACACAGACTTCAGAATGGTCCAGTGTTCCCTGGTGCTTCAGGGGAGTTCCAGCACAAGAACAGCCTCCAACTCCTGTAGCTGGAGTCATCGAGCTGCAGCTTCCAGGACAGGTTCTTTGCGCACTCACGCCCTGTGGTCACCCTTGGGCTGGGCCCGGGGTCATTCTGAGCTTAGCCACAGGCACCATGCCCAACCTTAGACCCTGGCACATGACACCAGATTGCCATCTGAACTTCCCGCTCCACACATGTGCCCGTGGAATCACATCCTTTTCCAGGGAGGCAAGGAGGAGATTTCTGCCCAAAGACAATAGGTTTGAAGGGTAGGAAAACCACCAGAGCAGGGACTGCTTTTACAAAGCTTACAAACTATGTAATAAAAACAAAGGTGCTACTTAGCAAAAAACAGCACTGTACCACTGTAGCATTGTTCTCCTGTTATTCATCGATTTGCTCAAGCGGGCACTAGTAAAGTGTCCATTGTGAGACTTGTTGTTACTATTTTTGGCATATCGAATACATCGCAGGTAGCTTGCCAGGCTTTGCCGTGCAGGCGGGATACTCTCAGTAGCTTGCCAAGCTCTCTGAGAGGGACAGAGGAATCGAACCCACGTTGGCCACATGCAAGGCAAAAGCCTTACTTTCTGTGCTGTCTCTCCAGCCCTAATTAATTTTTTAAAATACAAGCCATCTCTCTAAAGCTATAGTAAGTCAAGTTTTAGAGTTATTAACTGTGTGTGTGTGTGTGTGTGTGTGTGTGTGTGTGTGTGTGTAATGTGAGCATGGATGTATGTACACTCTACAGTCTTGCCATCACCGTGACTGTCTGTCAGTTGCCAAATGGGGTGTCTCTAAGAGGCATATACGGTTTCATGAGTTTCTGGTCTGGACAATTCATACCCATTTCAATTAACATCCCCGGGAGACTTAATTGCTGAAATGTCAAAGGTAAGTTTAGAAACCTAAGTACATTCCAAACACATGAATCTCGGGCTTACAGATGTGGGCTTATAGGCAAGGGGGTGTCTTGTGTGTGTGGGGGGGGGGGGGAGTGTGGAAAAATAAACAAATCCTCTGGAAATGAATGAAAAAAAAAAGGAGGGGGCATTTGGCAGGGTGTGGGGAAATGCTAAAAAAGCAAAAAAGTAAATGCTAAAAATCTCTGGCCCACACAGCCCTCCCGTCTCTTGCCCATACCAACATACTTGTGTGATCTGCAGCCTTTCCTCTTACCTTCCACCTTGGTGTACGGTTTCCACTTGTAGAACCACCCCCGGAAAGGTTTACTGTTATATTCTGCACACTGCTGGGCTCGGAAATCCAGGCTATTTCCATGGCAAGGGTCCGTGTTACACAGCTGGTAGAGACGGTTCAGACCGGGACAGAACCTGCCGCCATACTGAGGTCTAAAGACAAAAACAACAGCGTGTGAGTCACCCCGACCACATAAGCGGGAGTCCTGGAAGGGGTAATCTGGATGAGCATGGCCATGGGCCTTGAATTTAAAACTCGCCACTGAGGTCAATGACGAGAATGGGATGTGTGGCACTCAATACCGCCTCCTTCTTCTATCCATGGTCAAAGTCATCCTGTTGGATGCATTTCTTTTTCGCAGAGTTCGACATAGCGTCAACATCATTCACCACATGACCTCATGGTGATTCCTTGCACAGCTCTTTATTTCGGGCTGGCATTACACATCAAACTGATTTACCATCTCTGATCTGATTTTGACCTCCTGGCCATTTTTGTAAGTCGTGATGAAGGCACTATTTTAACGGATTTATCATTTGGGTTACAAAAACATAGGACTTCAGGGGTTCAGTCTCAAACCTCCATGTGTGGACTCACTCCCAAATGTCCACCAGGAACGATCCCTGAGCACAGAGCCAGAAGTAAGTCCTGAGCACTGCCAGGTGTGGTCCCAAACCCAACCCTTTGAAAAAAAAAAAAGGCAAACTCTAAGAAGAGTTTTAGCTCATTCCTCCTATCACTGCTTTGCTCCTCTACCATCCTCCGTAGCCACCATGGTTTTCACTGAGTGTCAGCATTAGTTTGGGTTTTTCTTTTCACTTCATTTGCTTTAGTGATAGATATTTACATTTCATATATGAGTGCAACCAACTAATAATGCTTTTTCACTTCCTTATTTCACTCAGCATATCCCTCCCAAGTTGCATGCAGTTTTATCTCTAAATGCAGAATTTCATCTTTTTTTTTTTGGTCAGGTCACTGCTACTTCATCCAGTAATTTGTTGTGGGCATCTAGGCGGATTCCAAGACCCGTTTCTGGGAAAGAATGAAGCACATACGCCTGATACCCATTCTCTCACATGCCAAGATGTCTAAAAATACCCCCAAAATGTTCCAATAAATGTAGATGCATGACACACACACAAACACCCCCACCCCCTCACAGGCTAGTGTCAAAGTTCTTCATGCATACACTCAACTGAGTCTCCAGGTTATTTTTATTTTCCTTTTTGGAATAGTCTTGTCATCTTTTTGGCCATGCATGGGAAGCCCACCCTTTGCTGCTCTGGTCAGCGCACCAGGAGAAGGTGCTTGTAGACCCATCTCTGTTGTCTGGCTCTGTCAGATATTGAGCTGACAGTCTGATTCTCCTCAGAGCCGACATGTCTTATGCTGATGTAGTCACTCCTCTGAGGAAAAACATTCTCTTTTCTTTATTCACATAATCACTTTTCTGCTGTGCAGGTGGCTGTCTCCTTGCTGGTCCAGCCCAATGGTCAATAAATGGATTTCCAGAGGGACTCCCATTAGAACATGAGTAATTATAATTGAATGGTAAGCTATTTGGGGAGTTGGATGGGCAGATGGCAAAACTCAGAAAGCAAGGCAAAAAGGAAGACAAACCACATGAAAAAGATTGATCACATCTTTTTTAAAGTTTACTTTTTCTTAAAAAATAAGATTTTATTGAGGTATAATATCAGTTTTGCATGCACAGAATTATGGTCTAGAATCCGTGTACACTCTGTGTACCTTGCATCCTGACTACCACTAGCACAAGTAATTTTCATCCAAGTCCACCACACAACTGCCCCCTCTTACCTGTTTCACCCACCCTTGGTGCCCCCCCCCCCCCCCCCCGCTTGCTGGTCGCCTCCAATCTGTGGCTAGGATAGCTAGCAGTTTGTTCTCCTTGCTTTGTTGCCTTTATTCGTGTGTTGCTTCTTCATATAAAGCAACAAGTGGTGAAATCATATGGTTTTCTTTTCGGGTTTTGGGGGTCTTTTCCCCTTTGACCCAGTGGACAACCTCTATCCATTCTGGTGGCTACCAAAGGTGAGAATCCATTTTGTTTGTTACGAAAGAGTTGGAGTCCATCGTGTATGGTAATCACACCTTACTTATCCATTCACCTGCCAGCAGCCACTCAGGTTCTTTGCATGACTCACCAGTCACCGATGGTGCTACAGGAACAAAGGTGCCTATCTTCCCAAAGCCACGCTTCATGTTCTTGGAATACAAGATCTGGAACGGCTGGGTCCTCGGACATTTCTAATCTTCATCCAGCTGGGAATTTCACGCTTCCCTCCTTAGTGGCTACTAATTTACCTTCCTACCTTCCCACTCACTCTAAAAGGGGGCTCTTTCCTCTTCATCCTCCTCCTATTTGCTGCTTCTTGACTTTTTGATAAGAGCCAGGCCAACACCATCATGTCCCAGCCAGCTTCCTCCAGGCACAAAGTAAGTGCTTCTTTTCATTCTAAAGCTCTTTCTCCAAAGGCTCAATTTCCACGATGGATCATCTCCTACAAAAAGCCTGATACAAACCCAGAACATGGAGGGGGAAAAAAAAAAGGCGACACTTCCATAAATTCATGTGATTAAAATTCCTTGTCTCTTTAAGAAGCCCAAGAATGCCATAAAACAGCTCTGGATTTGTTTCAGCATACTTTATCAAAGCCTCCTCTAGCTGCATGCTAACATGGATTCAACAGAAACAGGAAGTGTGCCGCTGCCAGCACAAGATTTTTATGCTATTTCAACACATTCTGGAGCAACTACTTAAACATTCAGCAGGCTTTGTGCTGGACCGAATCCCCGGGGCTTTCTTCAATCATTTTGTAAAAAGCATTTAGGAAAACTGAAAAGTGACATGAGAGCTTTACTTCCTGATCATCTTTACAAGGCACGTTGGAGCTTTCGATGTAGAACTTTCTGCTGGAGACTTTACAAAGAGCGCTCCTGTGGATGACTCAACTGCAGGCAAGAGAAAGGCCACGTGTGTGTCTTTTCCACTCAAGAGACAGTAACCAGGAACACCCCATCCAAACTCACAGTCATCCCGGACTCAAAAAGCATGTGAGGTGAAGATCACGTGTTTAGAAAGAGACAGAGTCAAAGGTCAACCTTCCTCTCTCCCCAGTCTGACACTGACTCTTGAGGTCAGGGAGAAGACAAAGTTCCTGAAGTGGTTTGATGTCAGCTCTGAGATGAAACAGAGTTGGGGGGCAGCCTCAAAGAGCTGGGGAATACATGTGTAGGAGCCCTGGGCTCAAGCCCTGCTCTGCATGTCCCTCCCTACAGCATGGCTGAGAGACCCCTGAGCATCACTGGGGGTGGCCCCTATTCAGAAAACAAACATGGAGCCAGTCTGGATATTAGGATTATCTACTTTTTCCCACATCTTATATCAAGACAACATTTTCTAACCTCCTAATCTGTCCGATGAGGACAATGGAGGTCATGTTGGTAAAGAATTTAGGGCAGAGTCAGAAAAAATACATTTTAAAAATTTTTTCAGAGAGGGTGTTCAGGGATCATTCCTGGTGGTACTTGGGGACCATACACGATGCTGGGGATCTAACAGGGGTTGGTTATATACAAGGCAAGTGCTTTAACCCCTGCACTATCCCCTGCTAGAACAAATCAATTTATATAATCTAATGTGGGGATATCACTTTTAATGATACTAATAAAAATTTCAATTTTTCCATTTCCATCATCCTCATGTAGAGGATAATTTTCTGGAGTTTTAAACATGAATGTTAGGATAAATTGATAGAAAATTCTAACATGACATCTTGTCCCTTGGGGCAATAATGTTTTTAGGATTTAAAACGAAATATAAACAGAAACGAGGCTCAAGATACTACCTTACAATAATATTATATATTTAAAATAATTAGACTGAAAAATACCCATATTCGCTTTGGCACAATTTATCAAGTCCTTACTACAAATCATTATGACGTGGCTGGTGAATGATTATAATCATGTGGGAAATTCTGGTTAAATATTTTATGTACACACATATTTGTATATATAAATATTACATATAAATTATAAACATTCCTGAACCTGCTCACAGACTTTCTCAGTAAAAGTGATACAGGGAAAGACCCGGAAATCAGGTTTTTTTTTTTTCTAAACAGATTAACTGGGCATTCTGATGATCAGCTGATCCTAGAAGTTACTGTTGGAAAGTGGACTGGAGATAAATTCTAATGAGAATTCTGGAGCTATCTGGTGGACTCACATTGCAGGAGAGTTCGCAGAAGGCTCAGCAGGCTAATTCTCCCCATCTGAATGGTCAGGGAATTTTCCTAATAGCATCTATGGGAATCTCGCCTGTCTCACTGCTGACCATATCAGGAAGAGTGAGGACACCGAGAAACAAGGTTGCCAGGTTGCCGGAGCCAGTCTTAGGGGGAATCCCTAACTTCCCTTACCCCACCATCACAGGGGTCGACCCTCTGCTCTCTGACTACCTGTTACTGCAGACCCTCTGCCCTCTGGCAACCTGTTTATAAAAGACCAACTGGGAGCACCTGCCTGGCAATGCTGGAGGTTTCCGACGAGTGAAGCCTTGGTAGGAGTTTAGAGAGGGACAGTTATGATGTTGATGCAGATGCAGGAACGAGTAGGTTTACGTGCTGTTCAGATAACTCCAGGAATCAACCAAGAATAATTCAATTTTTAGAAAACAAACTATGTTCTGGGAAAACCATCATTATGTGGAATGAAAAATTCACAGTGCTTTTCACATAAGCAAAAGAGAGAGAGAGAGAAAGAAAAGTTCAAGTGAGTCATGTGAGCAGACCACATGTTTAAACCAAAGAAATCAGTAACTGAAATAGAGACAAAACAGTTTTACTACAACAAAGTGAAATAAGAACAGGGAACAACTAATTCAATTGTCTGGGGATGGTCGATCACTTACTTATTATTTCTTCTCTGTGACTTCATGCATAATTAAAATAAACACTTTTCTGATTAGTTTTAATCTTGCTTAAAATGATAAAAACTGCACCAAGTGGAACTACTTTGGTGATTACTTTTATTGGGCATCTCTAAAATTACAATCTGCAATTTCCATGAACAATGCTCTATTCTAATGAGAGTTCTCAATCCCGCAGATATGAGAGAGGCTTGAGTATAAATCTCAGGGGCCTCACTCACGCGCTTTACCAGCAGAGTTATTAAATTAGGTAATCTATTTCTTTCTTGGGAAAACATTGAGATTGTAAAATGTTGTGAAGTATGAAAACCAGAGCCATGAAATATGCTGCAAAAATGAAAACTAATATAATGATTTTAACAATTCCACCCAAGACACGGGCTGTATTCAAAGCACGAGGAGTGTGGTTTTAATAGCCTGGTATGAACTGTAAATGCATCATCAACCTTCTATGAGGACACAGTGACTGGGCCAGATTCCTGTCCCCTGCAGACCTTTTGTGGCAGAATTTGGAGACTTTTCTTAGGTCCTTACAACTCGGACAAGTGGGAAGGGCACATCGGATTGGCACGTAGCTGGAACAGGGCAGGGACGCTGCTCTACTTCCTGCCATGGGCAGCACAAGCCCCCACAATAAAAATTTTTCAGCCTCAAATGTCAAATGCTGCAGTTGAGAAACCCTGGATTAGCTGAGACATCCCAAAAAGATGTCAAACAAACCTGAGTGTCTTCCTGCCCTCCTTCATATTTCGGGGACAAATTGGCTTTTTTTTTAATGCCCTTTTGCTCTGCTTTCATTATTTATTTGAATTCTCCATTTACCAAACATTTATGTAATGCCTCCAATGGTGCCAGGCACTTTTCCCAAAAAGCACTTTACAGAGAGGAACTGACTCCGAGTCTGGGGGTACGAATACCATCCTGCATTGAGCCCAAGAGAAACAGAGGGCAGGGCAGAATCACCATCCAGAGGGAGAAGCCAAGAGGCCCAGGCAAGTTCCCGGACTCAATATTCAGGTTCTTCACCTCCACGGCAGACCAACAAGGCAAGGGTGGAAACCTCAATCCATGACTTCCCCGGGTCCCCTCACAAGGCTTTCACTCCGCATTCTGCTGAGCCCAACTGCAACAGGAAGTTCTCTCTTTACTGTGTTGAGGACTGCTCCCATGGTAGCCTGGGTTCCTGGTGGGTTCAGGACAAACATGAAGCAAGCTGCGTGGACTCCACAACCTTCTGTGGATGCTCCCAAGTGTGTCACTCCATTCATAGACGTGATGAACGAGGGGAGGAAACAATCCCCACCTCCAGATATCTGGGAGGTGGGGATTGTTTCCTCCCAGTGTTCATAAACCCAAGTTCAAGGTTTACAAGCAACCATACCTCAAAGTTCTACAGGTGATCACTGACAGTTCAGAGATTTTGAGTTGGGGCATTGAGTTTGCAAAAGCTGGGCTCTGTCTATATCACCATCAACTGTCTATATCAACTAAGTGATGCACAGGAAGTAAAGAACTTACCTTGCATGGGGGAGGCCCTGGATTTGAACCCAAACACCACACATACACACACACCCCATCCCCACATATGTAAGAAATGCACATATCATTGTGTGGCAATTATAGATCCTCAAAGTTACAGAAACCTCCTTCATTCCCACAGAGTATGGGCCATCCTCCAGAATGACCAGGTCCCATGTATTCCCAGGAATGCTCGAGCCAATTTCAATTTGTAGATGGTTTGTTTTTATCCTTGCAGTGGATGAGATTAATTTTTTTTTTCTTTTTTTGCTTTTTGGGTCACACCTGGAGATGCACAGGAGTTAGTCCTGGTTCATACACTCAGGAATTACTCCTGGCAGTGCTCAGGGGACCATATGGGATGCTGGGAATCGAACCTAGGTCAGCTGTGTGAAAGGCAAATGCCCTACCCGCTGTGCTATTGCTCCAGCCCCGAGATTAAAAGTAAAGTAAAGTAAAGGCCCTCCCGTTGATCATCGATTTGCTTGAGCGGGCCCAGTAACGTCTCCATTGGAGACTTTGTTGTTACTGTGTCTGGCATATCGAATACTCTCGGTAGCTTGCCGGGCTCTCCTAGAGGGGCGGAGGAATCGAACTCGGGTCGGCCATGTTGGCTGCGTGCAAGGCAGACGCCCTACCCGCTGGAAGTTCATCAGTGGGGCTACATGCGGAGTGCATCTCGTCACTCTTTCCCATGTCCCTTGGGAAGGTCTGAAACTAGGGCCATCAGCGGCTCTAACAGGGCCCTCCCCGAGCTCGGGGAGGTGAGTTCCGAGAGAATGGGCCCTGGCGAGGACAGACTGGGCAGGAGATGCTATGGATCTCCTCTCCCCCGCAGAAGGAGTCCTAGCGGATGCCTCCTTAGCCGGAGCTTGGAACAGACTCACGGCCAGCCCCGAGATTAAATTTTTTAAAAAAATATTTTTATTATTTATCTACTATTTAGTGAAGCAAGATAGTTTTTCTTAAATGGAATTTACTTAGAAAGGCATGAGGAAAGGGAGGAAATCCATGTTCAAGAGAGAACACGGGCTTTTCCTGAGTAGACAAAGAAGAAGGAGAGAGATTCAAGGGAGGAACACAGGCTGGAAAGAGCAAGCAAACCAAGAGACATAGACAGATACGTGTTCAACAGAACAGGGGCTTGAGAGCTCATACCTTTACTTTTATTTTTAAAACACAATGTATTGTGGCAGACCAGAGCAATAGTCCAGTGGGTAGAAAGTTTGTCTTGCACACAGCCAACCACTAGGAGTCATTCCTGAGTGCAGAGCCAGGAGTAAACCCTGAGCATCGCCAGGTATGACCAGAAAGATAAAAAAGAAGAAAAAAAAACAAGAAAAGAAAATGGACTGTGGGGATTTTTATGACATCAATATTTCAGGAATTGGATCTGGGACACACACTGGCTTTAGCCTTTCTGGCTTCTCCTGAGGAGTCCAGTGAAGCGGTCAACCCGTGCCATGCCCTTTCCTGTGAGGCCTGAGCCTGTGTCCTTCCTCCAGTTCATCCGCTGGAAGAGCTAACTCACAGACTCGCTACCGAGAGCTGTAGAGAACAGAGTCTCGGGCCTCGGGGGGTGCGGAGGGTGGTCTGGCTACCTGGGAGGTTCAGAGCACCACGCAGGACACGCCTGCAGAACTCAGTGACCACGGTCGCTCAGAGAATGACTCCCCCGCTGTGGCTAGGGCTCCTCCCAGAGCCCACAGTCCTTAGATGCAAACAGTCAGAGCCTGGTGCTTGCTGAGGAGGAACAATTCTGCTTCCCTGAAGAGAACAGAAGCAGAAGCAAAAGACTCCACACCCCAGTCCAACCCCATGGCACCTGGCAGTCAGGCCCGCATCCTTCTGCACGAGGCTTACCTGGGGTTATTGCAGTGTCTCTCTTGATACTGGACACCTCCACCACATGTTCTGGAACATTCTGTCCACTTGGACCAGGCAGACCACTGGCCGTGAATGGGCCTGGGCCCGAGCTCCCCAAACTTCACACACTGGCCTTGCCGGCACCACTGTGGAGAGAAGGTGGGTGTGTTTCCAGTGAGGCCCCCTGGGAGACAGCCCCTGCCTCGGGACAGGAAATACCAGACTGTCTGGGGCATCTTGCTGCCCTCTCAGACTAAGCCACTCCATGTGCCTCCTGAAAGGCTGCTGTCTAAACACGGGGAAATTGGTCATTTGCAGGCTGAGGAGGACTCGCTTCCGCATGACAGCCAGGGGGTTGGCTGAAGACAGCACAGCCTCCTCCCCTGACACCCTGACACTTCCCAGCCGCCCTACTCCCAGGACCTGTGGGACTGTTCGCTTGAGGAGCACGCAGATGGGATCAATGTGTGGGATTCACTCAGCGCCCCCAGCACAACTAATTCTGCCATCAGTTGCTTGCTTGAATGATCAGGGTTGAATCCTTCTGGGGAAACCAACCTCGGTCTCAGCACATGGCACTTCTGACCTCTCGTCTGTGGACAAGGGTCCTGCTTCAGGCCCTTGAATGACTCTAAGTTCTCTGAGGGTCTTTTCAGAAGGAGCTTTGTGTCCTTCTTTTGCAAGAGCTGAGAAGTTGCTGCCCTAATGTGCGCTCCCTTGCCTCCCCTCTGTCATGCATTCCAGGACTTGTTGGTCATCTCTGTCCTTGGGGGTTGCAGGAGCCTCTAGTGCTGGTCTGTGTGTTTGTGTGTGTGTATGTGTGTGAGTGTTTTCTCCCCGTGGTGGTGCTTTTATTATGAGTAAGTTCTGCATGACTTAGCATAACTGCACACTTTCCTAAAAGCCTCTGCAATTAGAGCCAAAGGGTTGGGGTTTGGACAGTGCCAGGTTCTGCTGAGGAGTGGGAGTTCGGTTACAGAATTCTAGGGAGCTTGTTTGACTTTCAAATCTTCACTTTTCCCCCGTGATGCACTTGGCTTCACAGCTGTTTATTGGGAGGTGCTCTGTCTAGGTCAAGATACTGCTGCCTTTCTTCAAATGCTTGCCATGCACTGATGAAGTCTTCTGTTTTTAATTTTTCTTCTCCCTGGTTTAATTGCCACTTTAGCATTTGCACGAAGTCATATAACACTGTTGAGAACCTTTAGGGGGAAAGCAGTCGGTCATTTGAGGATTCTGCCGACCATAGGCAAGAATGGAAATCTTCTCAAGCAGGAATTGCAAGGATTCTCCAGAATGGAGCTCCGTGGAGGAGACAAATGGCCAGCAACACAGCCAAGGACCATGATAACAGCCAGTAAGGACAACAATAGCCAGCAACAATGATAACGGCCAACACCAAGAACAATGGCCAACACTAAGAACAATAGCCAATAACGATAATAGCCAACAGTGACAACAATAGCCAGCAACTACAATAGCCAACAAGTACAACAGCCAACACCAATGACAAAGCCAACAACAGTGGTGACAGCCAATGACGACAACAGCCCACAATTAGAGTAGCAGCAGCAGTAGTAGGAACTGATGATTTAGTTGCTTCTTTGGGCCACAAATGATGCAGGTATGGAAGTACCTCATAGACAGCATCTAATATAATTCTCCCAAAGCACTTAGGAGTTACAGCTGTTTTTCTCCATGGCAAAGTTAACAAGGAACTTACTGAACTGCCTGGTGTCACACAGTTGCTCAAAAGGCTACACAACCAGCTGAACCCAGTTTGAAAGATGGTAACCCAAGCCCTTCACCAGGACGAACACACTCCTCACCCTGGAGGCAGATTACTAACCAATGTATCTTCACTCTAATCCAATTTTGTTCTCAGAAATGTGGTTTTGAGCGTTGTCCCAAGCACTAAATTAGTTTGGCTTTCTTATAGTTCAGTCTTCATTTTAGTAGCGGGGGAAGGGTTGGGTAGGCTGCTGACCTATAGTCCCTTCTAGCATTTTTGATTAGTACAGAAATCAAGACTCCCCAGTATCTCACACACACACAGACACACACGCAGACACACACACAGGTCGATATAAAACTTTCCATGTAAGCTATGTGTATGATTTTCTTCATCGGTCTATGTCTTTTTCTAGCAGTGCTCTCTCTGCAAAGTGCCATGGGCAGAACCCTTTTCCAAGAGACTGTAAGAACCACTCCTTTTTTCTCACACACTAAATCTAGTGGTGAAGTTCATTTTCAAGTCCACACAGGCTCACTGAACATCCATGGTGCAAGGTCCACTGAAAGGTTGGGGCTAGAGAGAGATGAGGAAGGAGACAGCTGGAACACAACACAGAGCCACGTCTTCCCTGGAAGTACTTAGATAGAATACAAGTGAGAGTTGGGTCTGGCCTTGCAAAACGGACAATCTAAGGAATAACCAATGACATCCCCCGGTAAAGGAAGGCACCAAGGTCTGCAATAATCCTAACACAGGAGGAACAATAGTTGGGGTTTAGCAGAATGCCTTCTCTGCAGGTTGATCTAAATAAGGACTTTCCCCCAGCAAATATGTATTACGTGGTGATTTAAAATTAGGCAGGGGGAGTGTCATTAGGGCATTTATTGTCTAACTTTGGGATTGATGTGCCTCATATAATACTAAAGTTTAACCCAGGAGTATGTTCATCTCCACAGAACTAGATCAGAGATGTATTTACGCAGTAAATCCAAGCCCTCAGAAACTTATTATTCATTTTCCTTGTATATTATAGCATCTTTTCTCCCCTGGTCTATCCTCTGATGTTTCATGCTGTGGCTTTCCTGACCAAAAAAGAAAAAAATGCTCATTAACATTCCCATGAAAATTTTCAATAAGAATCCCATGCAGATTTCCTAAGACCAGTTCATCTGATTAAAAAATAGACATGTTACCTGATTTTTAAAGCCTTTATTTATTTATATATTTATTTATGTTTAGCTAAAGAGTTTTAAGTAATCTTTTAATAGATATTGGGAGAAAACGCCTTAACAAATATCAGAAAGTCATCTGACACTTGTTCATGAGTGTGTCTGTTTCTTTGCCCTGAAAGCCCCTCTCTCAGCTCACCTAATTGAAGAACATGAGTTCAGACCTCAGTATTCATTGCAGAACACCTTCTGGCATTTATTCTCAGACTTATCCAACCCCCCTGAGAAATTCTTTCTCACCCATTAGCTCCTTCTTCCTGCACAACTGTATAAAAGAAGAAGGCTCTTTAAAAAGTCCATAGTGGGCAGGGATCAAGGGCACATATTTTGCATGCACCCAAACCCCGTCTGATCCCAGCAAGCACTGCCTCATTCCCTGAGCACCACAGGTGGAACGCTGACGCCCTCAGTACCATCATGGTGGCCCTGGGGGTCCCTGGAACTTCAGGGCCTGAGAAACACCATATACCCCCATCCAGTCACTTAGCCCAGTCGACTGAATATCACCTGGAGTGGCCCCCATTTGTTATTATTATTTTGTTTGGGGGCCACACCTGGCAATCTCAGGAGTTCTCCTGGCTCTGCGCGCAGGAATCACTCCTGGTGATGCTCTGGGGGACACCAGAGATCAAATCTGGGTCATCTGTGTGCAAGATAGGCACCTTTCCCAACTGTATCATCTCTCTGGCCCCATTTTCCATTTTTGCTAAAAAGCATTAGCTGTTGAAGCTGAAGCTCTAGTACACTGGGCAAGGTGCTGGCCTTGCACATGTGGCCCCCAAGGTCTTCAGGAGTGACCCCTGAGCAGAATCCAGAGTAAGCCCTGAGCACTCCAGCTGTGGCCCCAAACAAAGTGAATAAAAACATCAGTGCTGCTTTCTGTGCATGTGCCCCCACGGATTGAGAATTCTTGAAGAGAGGTGACTGAGATTCTTTCCTCTCTGCCTCCTGTCCTGCCCCTCAATCCTCTGTAGCACTGTAGCCCTGTCCTCCTGTTGTTCATCGATTTGCTCGAGCGGGCACCAGTAACGTCTCACAACAAATTGTGAGACTTGTTGTTACTGTTTTTGGCATATCGAATACATCACGGGGAGCTTGCCAGGCTTTGTCGTGCAGGCTAGCTACTCTCAGTAGTTTGCCGGGCTCTTCCGAGAGGGGAGGAGGAATCGAACCCAGAATGGCCGCATGCAAGGCAAACGCCTTACCCGCTATGCTATGGCTCCAGCCCCTCAATCCTCATCCATAATAAATCCTGGAGAAAGTGAATTGCTGTGAAAGGAGCAGTTACTTTAGGATGGGATGGCACTCCCGCAGTGTCAGGCTCAGCCAGGTCCTCCCAGACCCTAGCAGGGGATTCCCTGCCCCATCTCTGCACCTTCCTCTCCAGCATCTGCTGGGAACGGACGAAGAGGGCACAAGTCAATGAGCAAAGACTCTTTCACCCCCATTCTGAAGGCCCATCCCAGAGGCATTTTTCATACTCAATTCACCTCACAACGTGCTAAGCCATCTCCACCGCAACCTCTCAGCTCACTGAAATAGAAATATTTGCTAGATTATTGGAAATAAAAAAAAAGAAAAACACTGACAGGAAGGGAGAAAAAAGAAAAGATTGAAACTGCCAAGCCCCCACGGGTGAGGACTCGTATTGGGTTCACACTGGAGCTGCTCCGTGATGTTGGGGAGCTGCAGGGGGTAGGGACAGTTCTCAGATGACAGATCAGAGCAGTAGGGTTCCACCCCCTCCCCCAGGTCAAGGTCCAAGAACTGAAAACTAACAGGTCCGCAGATTACCATGCTCAAGCCACACACGGTCCCCTCCGCTGCAGGCATAAACTTGGTCTCACACCTGTGGCCCACTCGGTGACACCAAAGTGATTTGCAAATGTCCTGCAAGGAAAGAAGGGGCTGGTAAGGGTGATGACACAATTTGGAGAAAAAAAAAGATTCCCCCCTCCCCATCCCCAAATCCTCAATGCTTAGATAGGCGATATTCTAGTTTTGAGAACCTGATTATCTGGGATGTGGAGGCAAGTTGACAGCAAGCAAGGTAACCTGGGGTGGACCAGAGGGGGCGTCGAGGCAGACAGTCTTTGTGCTGGCTGCACGGTCCTGTGCTCTAGCCATGGCTAAGAGGGAGCATCAGTTAAGGGGCGACTGGGCTGGAAACCAGGACCCACCATAACTGAGGCAGCAGAGTGAGCTCAGTTGGGGAAGCCAGCGAGGCAGATTCAGATCCTTGCCCGAGAACATCAAGACTGCATTTGTGGAGTATAAAATAACATAACATGAGACCGACACTCAAGGACAGTAGATATAAAGGTCGGGAAGATTGCTCCATAGTTGGAAGCCAGCCTCCTGAGTGGGTGAGGAGAGGACAGCTGGAATAGAGAAAGGATTACTAAGAAAATGATGGCTGGAGGAATTGGTCGGGATGGGACATGTGTGCTGAAAGTAGATAAAGGACCAAACATTATAACCTCCCAGTATCTACATTGCAAACCATAATGCCCAAAAGTACAGAGAGATTATGGGGAATACTGTCTTTCATGGAGGCAGGGGGAGGGTGGAGAAGGGGGGGGTATACTGGGGATATTGGTAGTGGGGAATGTGCACTGGTGGAGGGATGAGTGTTTGATCATTGTGTGATTGTAACTCAAACATGAAAGCTTGAAACTATACCTCACGGTGAATCAATAAAATTTTTTTAAAAAATTATGCATGCCCCGAGCACTGGTGACTGAGGTCAACAGTTGCCTTGAGAGGGTTGTTCTCAAGGTCAGGTCGGGCAAAGGCATTAGCCTTATCCCCTGTGAAGTGTCAGGAGTGTCCCGTGAGGCCTGTGTCATCAGTGGCTCCTGGGTTCCATGGGAGCAGGCAGAAAAAAGTGCCCCCATAGAAGACACGGCCTCATCCTTGAACCTCTGGCCCTGGGAGCCTGGAGAGTGGAGGAGAACTGAAACTGTAGACAGAGGGAGGGGGCCAATCAGGGGGTGCTGAAGCCATCTTACATTCTCCAGGTGGGCCCGAGGGGGTTACCAGGGTCCTGGGCTGGGACGGAGGAGGCCAGAAGGGAAGCAGAGAGGACAGAGAGTAGCCTCTTAGGGACTCTCAGGGGCGTGGCTGGTATGGGAGATGAAGGGAAGGGGCCCCGCGGAGGCTTCTAGAAGCAGAAAGTCATGAAAGGGTTTTAGCATGACTCCTTGCAGCACTGTGGCCAATGAATGTGTGTCGCTATTTCACTGAATTTGCGGAAGAGCACATTACCCTTGGCACCATATCAGGGTGGGTCTTAAATAGTAAGTCTTCCCCCCGGGGGTGGGCCACACAGATTCCTGGGAACTGCAAATTCAAGTGAAATGAAGTGAACATAACCAAGTTCTCAGACAACACATCATTTGTTCAATGATGAACAATTAAGCCGGGATGGATTTTTGTTTTTCCCATTGATTTTATCACAAAGGGACAAGAGGACATTATTCCAGGATCAACTGAAATTCCCTGTGTGTAGAGGAGGAGACCAGGCGAGTTGTTGATTCTTTACTGGAAAATTCAGGCCAGCGCAGTGGTCAAGGAACCTGGACTTTGGGATCAAGCCCTTCTGAGGCCTTCTCAAGACTGGAATTTTCCATGAGTAAGTGGTAGAAGTGCTCGACCTCTCCAGGTCTCTGCTGCCTTTTTATAAGGACGGGCACTGACCCAGATTCCTCCTGGCTCAGATCGCTGATGCTGCTCTTCAGAATGACGTCACACGTGGAATGTCAAAGTCATTCCATCTCGTTTGCTGCATTCTACTGACCTGGGAAGATCTGAGAACCGACATGCCAAGACTTGGGGAATAGGATGCTCAGAAAGGACACAAAATGACACTGTGGTCACGGGTTGCAACCCTAAAATTTCAATAACCCAGGCACCCCAGTCCTCCAAGCATTCCTATTAAGGTCGATTTCACAACTAGAAAATACAGCAAGAAGATACTCAAAATAGTGTATACACACACACACACACACACACACACACACACACACACAGAGTTTGCACAGGACTGAGAAAAGAAAATACCAGGAAATCAGAGCTATGTGTAGGGAGTCTGTTGTTGTAGGCCAGAACATTCTCCCCCTCAAGTCCCAAGAGATGCCAGGATATTGAGGACATGGCTGGGGAGTATCCCCCACCCACCCCCAGCCATCCCAGTGTGCACAGTTCCAAATAGCTCAGAAGACACAAAGTTTGCCAGAGAAAATGAACCTCCCCGTGACATTGGCAGAAAACATAACCCAGCATCCCCGAAGGAAGAACCAGGTCTGTTCTAGGTGTGATGTCCCCTAGGTGCCCCCCCGAGTCTGAGGGAGGCCACCACCAGAGAAACAAAGACACTCACAAAAAGAAACAGCAAGTACAGTCATTAATGCTTAGACCAAGGGACGTATCACCCACATCCCTTCCATGGGCAGCAGCTACCAAATGACCCGTGGGCCGGCCAAAGCCCAGGGCAAAGGCACATTCCATGGCCAATGCCAAGCCACAGGGCCAGGGAAAGGGCGGCTGGAGAGGACAGCGAAAATAAAGCAAAACAGCAGAAACCCAGGGATTCCAGAGTGCAAGAAGACAGGCCACAGGAACATGTTATTTCTTTTGTGGTGAAGTACAGAAGTCAAACCTAATTACAGCCAACTCCAGGCGCAGTGACCATCAAAGCTCTCGGAGAAAACTCTTACGAGTCAACAGAAATGAGAGTTTGCACTTTTTTTTTTTTGCCTGTTCTTCCTTCCCACACCCCAGCCCCGCATAGTCAACTGGGTTACTTTCCTTATTAATTTTCAAGACTTAAGTCATTTTTAAGGAATAGTCACAGAGAGACACCACGGCCTCCCAGTGCTGGGTATGGTTTTTCAGCCTAAAGTCTCCATTTGTTCTGTCACCTGTCCCTTGTCAGTGAAGTTCTACTAGACTGGATTCCCATCAGGGCATGGTCAGGGGTTGCTCCTGGTTGTGCTCAGGGGGCCAGCAGTGCCAGGGATCGGGCCCAGGCTTCTAGAACTCACCAGCCCATTGAGCCTTCTCAGTCCTGGAATCATCTTTGACTTCACTTCTTCTCCCAGGAAATCTACCAAATGAGAACACCCCACTCACCCTATTTCAAAATAGATGCAGGCCCATATTCACAGCCAATCTCCACAGGCTCAGATGAGTCTCATCCCTGAATCTGATAAAAAAAAATTCAGGTATGCAGGTTTTGTTACCAAAATCTCCAGGCTTGCATGGACTCAGGAGTAGGAGACTTCTCCTCATCTCCCTGTTCTTCCAGGAGCCTGTCAGTCATGCCCATGAACTGCCTCTGGTGCCATATAAGTTCATTAATGGCCATGATCCAGAGACTCACAAAAAAATCTTGAAAGAGAATCACAAGCTGCAGAGATGCCTTCAGAAGACCCCAAAGTCACCATCCAGTTAAAAATTTAACTCCAGCTGTATCACCCTATTTACAATTTTAGAATTCCTGGAGCTCAACATCTCATACTCTTCATCACTGATGTACCGAGAATAGCACACCACATTTGGTAAAGGTAAAAGGTAAAGGCCCTCCCGTTGATCGTCGATTTGCTCGAGCGGGCCCAGTAACGTCTCCATTGGAGACTTTGTTGTTACTCTGTCTGGCATATCGAATACTCTCAGTAGCTTGCCAGGCTCTCCGAGAGGGGCGGAGGAATCGAACTCGGGTCGGCCATGTTGGCCACTTGTAAGGCGAACGCCCTACCCGCTGTGCTATCGCTGAGCCTGGCAAGCTCCCCGTGACACCACATTTGATGGGCTGTAAAATGAAAGTCAACAGATCTCAATCAAAAAAGAGTATATATGTGTATATATATACATATATGTGTGTGTATGTATACATATATATGTACATACATCTGTATGTATGCATACACACACATACACACACATACACACAGCTCAACCTGTAATAATAACATGTTAGTAATCTCTTGTATAAGGGTTTGGTGGCTCCAGGATGAGATACAACAATCTTCACATGCTTTCTTCTTCTTTTTTTAGTTTTTATTTTTTCTTTTTGGGTCATATCTGGCGATGCACAGGGGTTACTTCTGGCTTTCACTCAGGAATTACTCCTGGCAGTGCTTGGAGGACCATATGGGATACTGGGAATGGAATCAGCCGCGTGCAAGGCAAACACCCTATCCATGTACTATCGCTCCACCCCCCACACACTTTCTTCTAAGGAAACTTCTTTGGATCAGTTTTAGCAAATTATTCATAAAAAGCAATACAAAATATATTATTTAGGGCCAGGCTTTCGGGTCGGAGTGAATATTCAAAATAATGGTGATGGGAAGGTGTAATGGTGGTGGGATTGGTGTTGTAATATCAAATGTAATAAATTATTGTGAACAACTTTATAAAGATAAAATTAAATAAAAGACAAGATAGATGCAGAATCTGAATCATTCTAGCTACTTCCATTGCTACCATGCCATTCTAAGCCATCCCCTGTGTTGATTAGCATCACACCCTCCCTGAAAACTCTTGGTTTCTTCCTTCCTTCTCCCAACCTTACCCAGTTTATTGTCAAGAGGTCTTGATGCTCCATGACCTAAGATGGAAGCCACTCATGTCGTATGGCTACTTAAATGTGAATTTAAATTAAATGAAAAACTCACTTTCTCGCTCACACCACCTACTTTTCAAGTTCACAGTAGTCACACCTGCCTCGTGGCTGCCATATTCGATGTTCAAGATCATTTCCATCCTTCTAGAACATTCTATTGGATGCTACTGAAGCTAGAGTGATCCTTTCAAATCAAGCCAGTTAAATCATTCTGCTTTTCTGCTTAAACCATGCAATGGCTTTTGATTCTGGTGGAGTTGGG